GTCTGATAAAAACATTCTCAAAATTACTTGAGTAATCCAAAAACGCAATAAAACCATAACTTTCTATTTAAAATAACGAAGTTAATACCCATTTCCGGTACAACCGGAAGTGCCACCATCTTGAAAATATTTTCATTGAGCAGGACCTAACCGATTATGGCCATAGACAAAATTTTAGAAAAATTTCATTGTTATAACTCCCAATACTTGGTTGTGTAGTTTAACCGGAACACCCTGTATAGGCCTACAAAAATTCCGAATTTTTAAGGTTTTCAAAAGAAAACAATAAATAAAAAGTCTAAATTTTTTTTTAAAGTTGGTTTCAGTTCTTAGAATTTACCATATCAAGAAATTCTACAAAATTTCTATCTTTTGAGGCTTTAAAATTCTGAGAAAAAAAGATTTCTTTTGTTTCTCAGAATCTATAATTTATTTTATTTTTTATGTTTCCATAAATGTCTAGAAATAAGGGTTTTCAGAGTTTTTTACTTTATTTCTACATTTCTAGAATTCTAATTCTAATCGAAACTTAATTGTTTCGCTTTTAGAAACCTTTAGGATTTAAAATTTTAGAAACTTGTACAAAATTTCTAGCATTCAAAGTTTGAAAATTTTCAAAATATTGTGTAAAAATTGTATTTGAAATTTCCCAAACGTAACCTTAAATTTTTGGGGTTTGTTAATCATTTTGGCAATTATGAATACACCAAATAAAAGTTGTAAACTTCATCTTTTATATGCCCAAATACGATTTCAAAATAATTAAAAATGGTAGAGTTATCGATATTTAAATAGGAAGGTGCAAATCCAAAAAATTTCAAAAAAATGTAAATATTTCGAAAACGGTTAAACTTAGGTATAGGGAAAGCTAATAAAAAATTTCTTAAAATCACTTGATTAATCCAAAAACGTAATAAAAAATACAGCTTTCTATTTAAAATAACGAAGTTGATACCCACTTCCGGTATAACCGGAAGTGCCACCATCTTGAAAATATTTTCATTGAGCAGGACCTAACCGATTATGGCCACAGACAAAATTTTAGAAAAATTTCATTGTTAGAACTCCCAATACTTGGTTGTGTAGTTTAACCGGAACACTCCTGTATAGGCCTATAAAAATTCCGAATTTTTAAGGTTGCAAAATAAAACAATAAATAAAAAGACTAAATTTTTTTTTAAAGTTGGTTTCAGTTCTTAGAATTTACCATATTAAGAAATTCTACAAAATTTCTATCTTTTGAGGCTTTAAAATTCTGAGAAAAAAGATTTCTTTTGCTTTTCAGAATCTATAATTTATTTTATTTTTTTATGTCTCCATAAATGTCTAGAAATAAAGGTTTTCACAGTTTTTTACTTTATTTCTACATTTCTAGAATTCTAATTTTTATCGAAACTTAATTGTTTCGATTTTAGAAACCTTTAGAATTTAAAATTTTAAAAACTTGTACAAAATTTCAAGCATTTAAAGTTTAAAAATTTTCAAAATATTGTGTAAAAATTGTATTTGAAATATCCCAAACGTAACCTTAAATTTTTGGGGTTTGTTAATCATTTTGGCAATTATGAATACACCAAATAAAAGTTGTAAACTTCATCTTTTATATGCC